CCCCCCTCCTCATCTTCTCTCCTCTATCACAAGAGCTCCTTAAATTCCTCCTTTCCTCGGGGCCAAGTTTTGTGCAGGTTGTCGAATACTTTTTCTGTGGATTTATTTCAGACGAGAGCAGGATGCGCTAACTCGGAGCCTCTCTGCAGACCGACGGGGGGACACCGACCGACTGGAATGTCAAAAACCAAAAAAAAATCAACAAAATCGCGACCCGTGATGCAGTAAAACATGCAAACGGTTGATATTTGCGTGCTCTTCCACCGTCACGCAGCCCAGCCTGCAGCTGAACTGTGTGACCCGATAAAAGGGCGTAGCAGCCTCCACCCTCTGCTCCTCACCCAGAGCCAAACTCTGCTCAGCTGGACGGAGGCCAAGTCCTGGACTGGAGGCTCTCTGCTGCCGCTGTCTCTCTTTCACTCTTCCTCTTTTTTTCTAAACTCTCTCTCTCAGTCAGTACCAGTCTCTCTCCCTGGCTTTCTCCCCCACCACCACCACCACCACCACCTCCTCCTCCTCCACCCCCCCAACAGTGTACCACACAGCAGCCATTGTTCCCGGCGCTGTGGAGCTTCATGGCAGCTGAGCCCCGGGTGGCTGCTGCTCCGTTACTCGGAGGAGGCCGAGAAAAAACCGGGGCGTAGCACGAAAGAATCCTGACGCAGGTTGTGCCAAAGCATTTATCTGGCAGGAAGCGAACTTGAGCCAAACATTTCCACGCTTTATCGATCGAGGAGGTCGTGACTGGACGGTGTTTTAGCTTCGACAATATCCCCATCAGCAGAGAAAGACGCCTTAAAAACAATGCTGCAGTTTGAATTGAAGTTTTGTTTAAACACTACATTACCCATAAGCCTCAGTATGCTTTGTTATGGAGGAAGTAGCAGATTTTTCAGTTGACATTGAATGTTTCACCCCAAAGGTTGTTGTCAGCGTCTTTAATTTAAAGTTCTTGATTTACTCTTTTGTTATTTATACTCAATGTGCAGCTTCAGACGCCGACGGAGCTTCTTGGATGGAAGAGAAACACTAAATGTGCAGAAATTTCATGGATCTTTTGCCTCTGTAGCTTTGACAATCTGGAATAACGTCCTGCTGTTATGCACCTTCGTACACATGAATACAATCTGTGCAGTCGTGATGTCTGCTGCCGTGACCACGTTACGTCCAGAGACTCGCCTCAGCTTCAGCAATACAGAAGAAAATGAGTGAAATCGAACCCAAAATAGTGGATTGTTTAGCTCCTTCTGGCTTTTAAACCAATAAAGCAGCATGGATGAGTATTCGGGGGGCATGTTCCACTTCATTGCAGTTACATGAGTCTAATTCATACACTAGTCTGTAGATAAAACTTGCTTTCCTGTCGGGCTATTGTGTCGAGTATGGAAGCTCAGTTGTGTAGTTTCTCAGTCATCCAGGTAATTCGGTAAAAAGCAAGTGGACTCTCTTTTCAGCACCAACAAGAGAAATCAAGTTGCTTTTTACTGAAGTTGTGTGATTACAAGCTGAGGTGCGAAATCAGTGGCAGTAGGTGGGTAAAATATGGACTAAACCAAGGTTCAAAGGTTAAAAAAAAAATGGTTTTAAGTCCTAAAGTTACACCATTTAAACTCAAACAACTATAAAAACAAGGAATCAAACAACTTTCTGGGGTTCCCTGAACTACTCGTGTGTGGCACTGTTCTGTCTGGAAATTTTTAAAAAGTGATATTTTATCAAAATCACAGTATTTTACGTCTTTTTTTTTTTCTTTTTTTTTAAATAGAAAAAAAAACCATTGCAGTAACCAGGTTCTGTAAAAAAAATAAAATAAAATAAAAGTTCTGTTCCCTTCAGCGCTACTGTGAAGCCGTTATTACGGTCACATGACAAAACATTCAGGGACATTTGGATGAACTGCAGGCTGTTTAAGGACCAAACTATCTGTCGTATGTGGAGTCACTGTTGTTTTTCCAGTATTGCTTACACTCAGTGGAACTTGGAAAAATGTTGTACGTGATGATTTCAAGTTTTTAAAATTCTTCTAGAACCAAAAGACTTTAAAAAAAAAAAAAGATTTCTCGCATCATAACTTCTGAAACCGCCTTCACCGTCTAACTGTCATGTCTTAGAGTTAAAGAAGTCCATTCTAATCGTCTCTTTTCTCCATCGTTCCTTCCAGCAGGCCGATGCAGGTGATGACTGCTCGCAGCCGACAGACCTGAAGGTGAAGACGGAGTGCAAGACGGAGCCGTGTTCGCCTCAGTCGACCCCCGCAGAAGACCAGACCGAACCCGTCGACCTGTCGCTCAACAAGCCCCGCTCGGCCTGCACGACGAGCACCACGGTGAACCCGGCGCCCAGCAGCGCCGTGACCCAGCCCAGCCTGTCGGCCACGCCGGTGCCCTCCACCGTACAGTCCATCGGCTCCATGGTAACTAGAAACCCCCGCCGACTGAACTCAGTCGCTCCCAGAGACAGAAGATCCTCGAGGAATGTGGGGTTCCTCACAGCTGACACTGGGGAGGAACCTTTAGAGTTCCAAACCCTCAGGAAGGTTCTTTAAGGACGTTTTGTGGGGTTAAAAACAACATTGTGGGTGACTCGTTTTCAAATTTCTGCACGACCACCTCTGAGTCGCTCGAAATCTTTGTTGCATAAAATATAGATATTTATAAAGATGTAACTTGATTTGTCAAATACTTCCTGAAGATCCGTTTAAAACTCTTGACCATGCATCGAAATCTGAGGCTCTGTTTGAATCACAGTATATCAGGAGCTTAATAACGATTGTTTTTTAGGTTTTTTTTTTAGATTTGGGGTTCATTGTTTGGATCAGATTATCTACCAGTACTTTAGTTTTTGTGGTCCAACGTGTCATAGCTGCTCAGTCATTTATGAGAGTTAAAACTTTTTTCTTTTTTCTCATTCTTTTACTGTGGCATGCAGCTACATGTGGCTCGTAAAACCATCACCAGTTGACTTCTGCGGTATCAATTATCTTGTTATTATGAGCTCAAAGATATGATTTTTCATGACAGGTTTAAATATTTTAACTCAGCCATATTCAGAGACGACCTGATCTACCTTTCTGATATCGCAGATTCTGAATCGATGATGTGATGAGAGGTAACAGTGAAAATGTCAGGCTTTTATTGTTAATAGTTCCTGAGATGTTGTCGTTCAAACAGCCTCAAATTTCAATGTCAGGGGAAAAAAACGTGCCGAAAGTGGGTCGACGGGCAATTAAAAAAAAAAAAAAAATTCATCTTGTAAAGTGTTTGATATTTCAGGCTGGACTTTCATGGATCTAATTTTAAATATTCCTGGTTTAGGATTAAAAAAATAAATAAATCAGAGATGGTCAAGCAAAAG